CTGTGTAAAAACCTTGAAGAATAAAAAAAATTAATGAATTTGCTCAAACAACATTTTGCATGAAAAATATTGAAAATTTCAAAATAAATAGTTTTTACCCCTTTGATTTCAAGATACATGTAATAAATGATTGCTTTCAGGGATCGTATTGTAATTTATGAAATAAAAGAACTATTTTCACAAGAAGATGTCCTATAGGCTACACATCGTCGCAAACCACGGCCAAAATGTATGATCCTCTCCCAGTCTGGCCGTCTAGGAGAGAGCGGACTCCGAACCACGGCTTGAGACGATGTAGGACTTTGTGAATCTGTAGGGGCACCTGTTGTAAGAGAGAAGAGTGGACTGCATGGTTAATCGTCTTACAACAAAATAATCAAAAACAAAATATATAAGGTTCATAATTTGGAAGATGTATACATCTATTACTGACCCTGCCCTATTAAGGATACTTTCTCGTAAGTTTCAGCTGATCTTGACCATTGGTTTTTGAGAAAAATATTTTTTTTAATCCTGGGAGGGGGTACATGTAAGACGAGCCGAATGCCCATATTTTTTTTGGGGGGGGAGGGGGGGGGGGCTTAAATTTGCAATTACAGTACTGACCGGACCCAACCTGACAGAAAGCAGTCCCAGAAAGCAGTGCTCTTGGACTGCTTTCAGTCAGGTTGCGTCTGGTCGGTACTGTCCGTGATTCGAAGTATTTCAGTAATGGATTCTTCAGATTTACTTATATGCATTCTAATGTTTCAAGTAATTGTGAAAGTGATATCTGGAATCTAAACAAGCTAAAGACTTCACTTTTATTTTTTGCCACATAATGTCTAACATATATATATTGTTAGGGACGTCTATTCTGTAACAAGAGAGTTACAAGTGGAGATATTGTTTACAATGATTACAGCTGCAGAACTGTAGCTCTCCGAAAAATATACATATTGATAGACCGGAGAGCTACAGTGCCACCCATTGAAAATGTATATTTATTGCGCACAAAAAAGTGCGCTCGGTTCTAGATTCATTCTTCCAAATTCTTTCCTCATTTGCGAAAAAGTTAGATTTCAATAAGGTCCTTACTCCTCTATCAATTACTTTCGTAGTTTACATCTGCACGAAGCGCGTCGGACCGAATTATCTTTCAAACCAAAATGGCAGTATAAACAGACGTAATTTTCGATGATTGTTCTGCTCTAATTTTGTATTGTTTTATGGACTTTGAGATTGAATACTGTTCGTTATCTCCATATCCTTCTTTGAGATGATAGTTTTAAAAACATGGAAAAATAAATCGAGAAACAGCGCACTTTTTTGTGCGCAATAAATATACAGTTTTTTCAATGGGTCAGTGGCACTGTAGCTCTCCGGTCTGTCAATTTTTTTTTCGGCGAGCTACAGTTCTGCAGCTACAATAATTTTTGCATTCTTATATTTTGCTTTATAAGCGCTTAATAGCAAATAAAAACGGAAAAACAAGTATACCATGGCCAATATAATATATTTATTATAACCCACCTCCCCCCGGCATTTTGAATAATTTACTGTAAATGGGTTAATGTAGCCTATAAATGAAATTTTCATAGGCGCTTGGGTCAAGGATACTGTATTTTTTCTATATAATGTATTGTCAAGGAAATTGGAACTTTCTCGTAGCATTTTGTTTCAGTGTGCAGTGTTAATTTTTAGTTTTTTGTCCACCTTTTTTCTTCATATATACACTAGAATGTCATTATGTCACAAAATTCGATTTTATGCACGTTTTAAAAATGACATATCTCACTGTATACTAAAAAGAAACCTTAACTTTCATTATAAAAAAGTAAAAATTGTGTATCAGTATGCACTTATTTAATGACTACAAGGTAAACAGTCAATAATGACGTTCGATAAGGAGAAGATTCCGAAGAAAAAAAATTACCACTACAATGCTCTTTATTGTATCGAGCTAACTCTGAAACTAATGTGAGTAGCACGTGATTTGTGAGCGTACATATTGTAACAATCACTAGTTAACCTTTTGGGTACCCCTTGTTTTGTTTGCAAGAATTACCCTTCAAACACCTCACCGTTAGCACCCAGGATTCTTTGCAAAATTTTGGCCGACGGGTAACAATAGCTTGAGGTCATTCCCGGCAGAGCTGTCCAGCGTGCAAGACACAGAGTTATGGGACAGGGTAGAATTTGTTAATTTTTGCACCAGCATATACCTGAAACTTACTGTAAGTTTACTATAACCAATTTGTACTTTTCTGCACGGGAAACAGACCCAGGTGAGTATATTTTGCAGTATTTTAAAGTTATGTTTAATGTACTTTTAACATTCGTTCAATCAGTGCATCTTGGCAGGCACTCATCTGTGAATTACTCGTGTGTGTGTTCAGGTGTGACGTTAGCATTAGAGTGTTTGAATAGGATACCTTGTCAGAAGTTTGATCGCTGTTAGAGAAATGCTATGTATGTTAGAGAAGAACAGCCTGTTTCCTTATTTTATTGTATTTTTGTTCACTGTATTACTTTTTCATTTAAATGTGTGAGCGATAGTAAATGACCGGAAATATTTTCAACCATTCTGTATCTAGGTCAACTGTAAACATCCCGATGTAATGATTTTGAAATTACATGTATTTTAGTGGCATTTCGAATGACCGCGGGGTGGGGTGGGGGGGGGGGAACGACAACTCCAATATCCCCCATAACCCACTTACAAATGTAAGGATGACTCGTTTTGTTATATAGAGTGGGTTAATACGATTTTTTTTCAGTTTTTTAAAATAAATGAAACTGTTTGTTTTTTAACTTTTTGGGGTTTTTTTTATGGTATGGATTACAAGACAAATAATTTACTAAAAGATAGTTTATGAAAAAAAAATCGAAAAGGCCCGCGGGTCTATATTTACGGGGGGGGGGGGGCTGTCCTCAAGCACCTGTGCATTGTCCAAGTGTAAAAGTATACCCTTCAACTTTAAAAGTAAGTGCTCCTAGCAAATTTTCTATGTGTGCTACTGGAGCACTACATCTTTATTATAAAACAATCGCCAGAAGCTGTTTTACTTGAACATCAATGTGTTTGTTTCTTGTTAACCTGTGATAAATTCAAGTTCCGATCCCCATGCATTTCATTTCAGTTATCAGGTTATGCTGTGGGCCAACCCCTACCCTGCTTGAATAATTCCAGGATCCTCTTGTGATACTTGTCCACAGTCTGTAATTATAGTCTTTCTATATTCCAGATGTCGGTAATTTTTTCGTTCAATTTTTTTCAAATTATCACCAATAAAGGATAAAAAATATATTCGAAAAAAAATCAACCAAAATATAATTTGGCAAAAGCAGTTTGTGAGAAAGACATCATTGGGAATCATTTTTAATCCTTGAATTTAACATCTATTCAATTCAACTTGCAATTACCATGACTAAGTATTTTTTTCATGTTTAAAATGCATCGGGATCGAAATGTCAAACCCATTCATGCGGAAGCGCGGGAAGTAAGGATCAAACGACAGTCACAACAAAAGATGTGAGCAAGAGGATAGTTACAGGTGAATCTTTTTTAACAATGTAAAATAAAATAATTTGAAAAGAAATAGTAAAATATACTCAGATAGATATAAACAAACATTAGAAGGGTCGGCTTTTAAGCTAATAATTAAAAACAAAAAGTTGATAACTCGGTGACAGTGTATACTGGTGTCTCATTATATCGTGGTACTTAATTCTTTTGCATGAAAAGTGTTATTCCAATTTTTCACTTTTAACTTTCATCTAAAAATATTAATAAACCAATCTATGGACTAACTTTATAGTGTAAAATTATACCCCAAGCTTGCATTGTTTAAGTTATTGTCTATTTTTAAAACAGGAAGTCTTATTTACCTTCAAAATTGGAGAGTCTCATTGTATCGCGGTATGGGAAAACATGGAAACTTGTAGATGACATGGACCTCAATTTTTATTTTTGAATTTACTATGTAATTCTCCAGGATAAGTAAATAAATATACAAACTTAAGACCTTTAAAAAGATGAGCTACAGTATAATTGATACTAGGTTATAGATTTAATGCTTAAAAATAATAAAAACGTGACTGAAAATCTGAAAAATTATGTTTTTTTGAAAAAAATTTTTTCAAACGGATGTTCCATACTTCTTAATCATCAAAAAAGTAAACATTCAGACAACACGAACATATTATCCATCAATAAAAAGAATAAAGGCTATGTATCCAAATTTTTGCGACATACCGCGATACAACGAAACCCGCGATATAATGAGACACCAGTATAGATCTAGTGCTCAAACAATGTTCAATTGTTTTATTTGAAAGAATAAAAAATAAAAGTGGTTTAATATAGAGCCTTTCACCATAAATCTTGTAAGTAGGTCATGCTTAAAATATATGAACGGTTCTCTCCTGAGTCCCTTTTTTTTGGGGGGGGGGGTCCTGTCTCATAAATATTGCTCCCACTATTATGAATTTAATTAGGCCTAGGTTATTCAAGTCTACAGCTGCAGATCGTAGCGTTATGATTTTATATTTGTCTTTGACCATAAGCTGCAGATCCAGTAATGCAAAAGAGGTGCAATATTACAGCGCAAGATCTTTTGGGGGAGAATTTCTCCACTTTCTAGCATCGGCCAATTAACTACCTTTCATTAAACGTAAGTTTCAAGAGTAGTATTCGAGCAGTTCTCATAACCAGTCAAGGGCATCATGGAAACAAGTTATTTTTGAAATGATTTGTTGAAGTTATTATAGATGTCAACATTTTGGGTTATCATTCCCTGATTATATGCTTTTCTCCAGTAACTTATTTCAGTTATTGATACTTTACTATACTCATTATTGTAAACCCACTGGTATCTGAAAGACTTTAGTCATGCTGTTCTTGGGTTATTAAGTAGAGGGACAAATCATAACTTATTTCTGTTAATTCATCATAAAACCACCTCACTTGAGAACTCTTTCACAAAAATATACAGCTTTGCACAAAAAATGTAAGACTTAGGGATTGTACAGTAATGTTCAAAGATGATAGGAGAATTAGTCTCAGTGTTGGCAAAATTGGCGGAAGATGTGTAATTGATCCCTGAAATGTTCATGAAATGGAATTATTTTTCGTTTAAATAAATCATGATATTTTTTTAATATCATCCTAAAAGCTTAAAAAAATTGAGTCTGTTAAGTCTGTTAAGTTTATTAAAAGAAGTACATATATTTACAACTTCCCCAGCCTTACATCATCTCTAATCAGCAGAAAACTCAACATATTGATGTTTTTTTGGCAAAACTGGTATTCTAATTTTTTAAGAGTTAACTCAAGTGAGTTACTTCTTTGTATAGTCTTAAATAAGTGCAGTAACCTAAAAAAGTTATTTTAAAAAATAACTTGATTCCATGATGTCCCTTACTGATAACCTGTCCTGAAGACATTGCTTGTTTTATTTTTGGAAGAATCTTAAAGGTCTTACGCAAGGAAATAGCCAATCAAAATGAACTTAGTCAATTGAAGTTCCATATATATATAGAGAATTTTTTTTTTCTTTTTTCATTTTTGGCAATTTGTTTTAGGCCTACAGTATTAAAATTGGACTCATGTACTAAGAATATCATTTCTTTAGCAGAATTATCTCACTGAATTAAAAGGCACTCTTTTTTCAGGTGTGGATGATGCAACTTCCTGGATGGTGTGTAGGCTGTTTGTCAACATGTGAATCCCACGTGCATTTCGGGGTAGGTATGTTTACTGTCGATTTTCTTTCTTAACAGCCGCATAAGGCATATTTTTTCTGATCTCAAATTTTTTTTAAGCATTAATCTTTTTTTCTCTTTCATGAATTTTTTGCTGAGAGTCTAATAAATTAAATAATTTAATTCAAGCTTTATAGTAATATATAGTGAAATTATTTCCTTGTGTGAGATCTAGACCTAAAGAGAAACAGGTAACTCTCATTTTCACAAAAATTTCTCTGATTTCAGGAGTTGTCTCCCCTTGAAAAGAACAATAATAGCGGATAAACAATGCGGCATGAAGTCTTGTCATCAACGGACAGTTTTGACACCCATATACCCATATTTCTACCAAATACCTCTGAAACCTTTGTTGTGTTCATCACACAGGTAAGAAAAACAAGATTTTTAATTCAAATAATTTTAATGAGCTAAATAATAAAGAATATAACATTTTTACATGTACAGACTCTCTCGTATAACAAAATATCACATTTTACACTAGTGCTGGGACGATCCACCGGTGCACCGATGCATCACAGTATTCACTTTGACGATATACGGATCGATTCATATAATTTAGTATCACGATACCTGACAGCACTTTTTTTTAATTTTCAAAAATGTCTGGGCTTTAGAATTCAGTCCTTTAGTCTGTATCATCAAGACGTTTAAACAATCAGAAATAAAGTACAAACGTCTTGGTGATACAGAATTCAAAATACAAGCACCAGAATGGCATCAGACACGCGAGATTATGTTAAATCAATGAAAACACAATGGCAGTAAGTCGGGTTTCTTTTGAATTAGTTTATTTTTTATAATCTGTAATGTTCCAAATTAAAGGTTCTAAAAAAATATCTAGACTAAGTTTTATTTGGTTTTAAATGTATCGTGATATGTATCGTATTGCACCTAAGGTATCGTGATATGTATCGGATTGGCTAAGTTCGGTATCGTCCCAGCCCTATTTTACACATACAATAATACATTATTCAAATGTCCACTTTTTCCCCATTTACACAGTTGAAAATAATCAAATGAATGCATAATGAACCATAAAAACAATTATTACATGTAAGATAGTTAACAAAATATATTTTAATAAATACAAATTTTATACATTTGAAATGCATGTCAGTGTTCCAGCTAGGATCTGAAAATGGAGGGGTGCAATAGAAGGGCACTTTTTCGCGACATACGGTGATACCGTTGTCGCAAGTTTTTCATCCATCATGTACATAAGTGTACCTCATTTCTTCACCCTTATAATGAATATAATTATAATTCCTTCAAATATGATTTATATGTTTAACCTTATTGATGGTTAACTTTAGCTTGTATTGTAACGATATATAAAATATAATTGAAAGGTAATTTTAATTAGGATAAATGTGATTTTTCTTCCATTGATTGCAGTGATTTTCTATTGTTGATAAGAAGTAGAATGCAGCACATATAATAATGAATTCATGTAAATTATCTGGTGTCTCCCATTTAATAGTAGTACATGAAAATCTACACGTACAATATGTATACAATTACTGAATTCTAAATTGCTTAAGTTTGTATTTGGCAAATTATTTAAAATATATACAAGAGTTACAATATTTATTAGTGAAAACATTTTCTTACATTATTTATTTAGTTGTTATCAAACTTAATACAACTAAATGTCAATATTTCTTTTGTTTGTTTTACCTTTAAGTTAAAAAATGTTAGTGGTAGATAATGAAGATTTTTAACCTTCTGCCATATGACATGAATACAATTACATATTATGGCTGTAAAATCTCTTCCAGAGTGTAAAAAATTACCTATACATATTTCTTTGCTTATAAAGATATTAAATTCCATCATAATACGTCTAGAATTTATATTTAGATTGCTGAAGGTCATTGTTTATACTACTTTCACTTTCTGATTTATTTTTAGAACGCTTTAGGACAAAGACTCTTGTTTTAGATTAAAACAGATAGCATGGTCATTCTCCAAGTATATTTCAGCTTTTAACCCTTATTCAGACTGTCAAATGATCAAAGTAATTACCTAATCACCTGTAATTGATAGTGTGTACAGTATATAGGTACCGTAGTGCAAGCTCATTAGGTAATCGTCTATGGCAGGAGGTGTGAACTGTTGATTAGCCTTAGGTAATCTGGCTTGGAACACACTAATTATTCTAAAGAGTTAAAAGGACAGTCAGAATGATATTGGTCACTCACAAGGGACACAGGGGCGCCTGTTAGGGGCAGAGGGGCGCACTGATTTGAGGGCGGGGCGCAGCGCCCCTCTATTTCCCCCTAGCTGGAACACTGCATGTACATATCATCAATGCCCCCCCCTTCACAGTCTTACAACTTCCTTTTTAATTTTGGATCTGTTAATGATTTACTGTAAGTGTCTTTAGATTTTTTATTGTACAGCTGATATCTTTTAGATCTGTGTATTTTCTTTGAAATTTATATTTTAACAGTTTTTGTTTCATTTTAAAGTAATTTTGTCTATTTTGTTGTTGTTTTAGATGATGGACCACTCTACTTCCTTTTACAAGAGGTGCCCCTACAGATTCACAAAGTTCCAGTGTTGAGTTTCCATGACCCCTATTCAGTGAGTGTACAACTTTATGTATTCTACTTTCAAAATTTCTACTACTTGTAATACATTTTGGATTTGATTTTAAATATGCCCTATTTACAGATTCAGATTTTTGTGTACAAGTATGATATTTGATTCTATCAAGATTACTTTGTCCTAAAGTCAAATTTATACAGTCTTAACAAACATTTGTCTTTTTCTGTCATGTTTAATTCAAAGTCACTAGGCAACACTGAAGATTTCCACTTATTGCTTTTCAGTCCACGACAGGAAAAGGAGTAGAGTTGACAGGACTTCCCGCACTGTCCCTGGTAGCAGTTTATGGGGGAACCAACCACAGTAGACATAGCACGCTTCATCAAAGGTAAGTCGCCGGAGTAGTGTTTGTAGCAATTCGCGTACTCTGTCCTGCATCGAAGCTTCAAGTCCAAGGCAAATCTTCGCTGCATGGATTCTCTTATGGCCTTGGTTCTTCCCGGAAACATGTGACTACTGAATGGAGCCTTAGCAGTCTGTTTTCTTTGAGAGTCAAAGAAGTGACGCAGGTCCTTAAGGTTTTCAATCACATGTCCTTGTTTTTCAGATGCCCCAGATGCAGCGGCACTGTCTCCATCACTGGTGAAATGGGATATTACTAGTGGCCGGTCATCACTCTGTAAATCACCAACACAATTAGCGGCCCATCTCTTCTCGTCTCCAATGGTGGTCTCCGGAGGTATGGTTGCAGTGCAGTCTTCATGTCCTGGGCAGGTAACCTCTTTTCCTTTGCTTTGTAGGTGTGCGCCTTTCTTACATAGTTTATTCCCACAGAAAACTGCTACCACATTCTTCCTCTGAGTTACATTTTCACTTACGGTATACGTCACTGGATGGGTGGAAGCTTGGAATGGGGTTTTCCCAATGGCACTGAAGATGGCATTATTTTACCGAGCATCTCCTTCCGCTCTGATGGGGGCATCCGGAAGTCCACATTTTTAGCTCTACTGGTCAGAGACCAGAAGAGCTTATGCGATAGTAATGCGTCCGGCGTCCGTCCGTCTGTCCGTCTGTCTGTCTGTCTGTCTGTCTGTAAACAATTTTTCAAAATGCTACTCCTCCTACATTTTTGGTCTAATTTCAATATAACTTGGCACACAAGTAGACTACACTAAGATACATAATTCTGTGTATCGGTTTTTGATTTCGATGAACGGTGTTGCCGTGGTTACTAAAAATAGAAATTTCTGTGAAATTCTTTCAAAATGCTACTCCTCCTACAGTTTTAGTCTGATTTCAGTATAACTTGGCACACAAGTAGACTACACTAAGATACATAATTCTGTGTATTGGTTTTTGATTTCGATGAACGGTGTTGCCGTGGTTACTAAAAATAGAAATTTCTGTGAAATTCTTTCAAAATGCTACTCCTCCTACAGTTTTGGTCTGATTTCAGTATAACTTAGCACACAAGTAGAATACACTAAGATACATAATTCTGTGTATCGGTTTTTGATTTCGATGAACGGTGTTGCCGTGGTTACTAAAAATAGAAATTTCTGTGAAATTCTTTCAAAATGCTACTCCTCCTACAGTTTTGGTCTGATTTCAGTATAACTTAGCACACAAGTAGAATACACTAAGATACATAATTCTGTATATCGGTTTTTGATTTCGATGAACGGTGTTGCCGTGGTTACTAAAAATAGAAATTTCTGTGAAATTCTTTCAAAATGCTACTCCTCCTACAGTTTTGGTCTGATTTCAGTATAATTTGGCACACAAGTAGAATACACTAAGATACATAAATCTGTGTATCGGTTTTTGATTTAGATGAACGGTGTTGCCGTGGTTACTAAAAATAGAAATATCTGTAAAATTGTTTCAAAATGCTATTCCTCCTACAGTTTTGGTCTGATTTCAGTATAACTTGGCACACAAGTAGACTACACTAAGATACATAATTCTGTGTATCGGTTTTTGATTTCGATGAACGGTGTTGCCGTGGTTACTAAAAATAGAAATTTCTGTGAAATTCTTTCAAAATGCTACTCCTCCTACAGTTTTAGTCTGATTTCAGTATAACTTGGCACACAAGTAGACTACACTAAGATACATAATTCTGTGTATCGGTTTTTGATTTCGATGAACGGTGTTGCCGTGGTTACTAAAAATAGAAATTTCTGTGAAATTCTTTCAAAATGCTACTCCTCCTACAGTTTTGGTCTGATTTCAGTATAACTTGGCACACAAGTAGAATACACTAAGATACATAATTCTGTGTATCGGTTTTTGATTTCGATGAACGGTGTTGCCGTGGTTACTAAAAATAGAAATTTCTGTGAAATTCTTTCAAAATGCTACTCCTCCTACAGTTTTGGTCTGATTTCAGTATAATTTGGCACACAAGTAGAATACACTAAGATACATAAATCTGTGTATCGGTTTTTGATTTAGATGAACGGTGTTGCCGTGGTTACTAAAAATAGAAATATCTGTAAAATTGTTTCAAAATGCTATTCCTCCTACAGTTTTGGTCTGATTTCAGTATAACTTGGCACACAAGTAGAATACACTAAGATACATAATTCTGTGTATCGGTTTTTGATTTCGATGAACGGTGTTGCCGTGGTTACTAAAAATAGAAATTTCTGTGAAATTCTTTCAAAATGCTACTCCTCCTACAGTTTTGGTCTGATTTCAGTATAACTTAGCACACAAGTAGAATACACTAAGATACATAATTCTGTATATCGGTTTTTGATTTCGATGAACGGTGTTGCCGTGGTTACTAAAAATAGAAATTTCTGTGAAATTCTTTCAAAATGCTACTCCTCCTACAGTTTTGGTTTGATTTCAGTATAACTTGGCACACAAGTAGAATACACTAAGATACATAATTCTGTGTATCGGTTTTTGATTTCGATGAACGGTGTTGCCGTGGTTACTAAAAATAGAAATTTCTGTGAAATTCTTTCAAAATGCTACTCCTCGTACAGTTTTGGTCTGATTTCAGTATAATTTGGCACACAAGTAGAATACACTAAGATACATAAATCTGTATATCGGTTTTTGATTTAGATGAACGGTGTTGCCGTGGTTACTAAAAATAGAAATATCTGTAAAATTGTTTCAAAATGCTACTCCTCCTACAGTTTTGGTCTGATTTCAATATAACTTGGCACACAAGTAGAATACACTAAGATACATAATTCTTTGTATCAAATTTTAATTTTGATGAACTGTGTTGCCGTGGTTACTAAAAATTGAAATGTCTGTAAAATGTTTTCAAAATGCTACTCCTCCTACAGTTTTGGTCTGATTTCAATATAACTTGGCACACAAGTAGACTACACTAAGGATAAAGAGACTTTATCAACAATCATTATTCTATATATTGCTGTTGTAAAGTTTCAATGGCACAGCTGCTTAAGTACTCTTCTCTTCCTTTGCTATAAGTTCAAACCAGTAGAGCTTCAGTCTCGACAGGGACTTCTGGTTCATTAAGTTCTTGAATATTCTGCCGAATTTTTTCATATTGTTTTATTTACATCGGTTATAATTTTCCCCACTTTGTTGCAGGTCTGTTGCATGTTGGCGGCTGACGCTGGTTCAATATTTGCACCAAGAAGCATACCACGCATACCCTCTGTTGTAAGACTGGTACCCAGGTGACCGACAGCCATGGCCACATTCAGCTGTGCAGCTCTTCGTCCCCTTCCAGATCTTCTCACCTCTTCGTAAAGCTTTTCTCGGTGACTGGTATAGTGGCACTTCTTACATCGAATGGAAAGGATCCATGCCAGGCCTCGTTTTTCCTCCCAATGCTGATTCCAGTCCAGTGGACCATCACAGTCAGGAAACTTCTGTAAGTGTTCTTTGAATGCATTGTTCCACAATTTAGCAGTCTTTTCTTGGTGAAGTACCTTGTATAATTTTGAATTTGGGTCATCTGACACAGATTCCATGTAGGTGTCCACTGGCTGGACCTCACTTGGCCCGGGTCGTAAAAACTTCATCTCACTGCTTCGGCTCTTGGCATCTATAACTGCAAACACCCCATTTTTCTGTGGCCGTACAATGTCCTGATATTCTTCTTTACTTAGTCTTCTTATGGGAACCAGAGATTGGACTGGGCTAGTGGTCCCTATTTTCTTCTGGCCTTTGTTGTGAGGAATACTTCCTTTTTTGTATTGATGTTGATGCAACCATCTTGGTCCTTTTTTTGGCATGGTAATTATTTAACTATATACTTGTAGACTTTTTCTAAGAATATGTTATTGTATGTGGTGCACAGTTTTAAGTATTGTAAACTTTTGTGTTGTTTATTTATTTTAGAGCTGCCAGGACTTCTAAGAGAAGCTCCATTCTTTGATGACTGATGGAAAAGCCTCATCACCCCCCACTGCTTAAGAACCTCTTATCTTAATCACCAGCCATTAATCAGTGATCACTGTTATCAAAGCTCCAAGGTACATTATTGAATTCTCTTTTTAAACCATTTTTCAGTCTCTGACTTTGTTTTAGAATTAAGATTTTCACTCTTTTGCTAATTAATTCCTTAAAAATCAGTTAACTTCCGGTTTCTTTGATAATTAGAGCTCATTAATTAAAGTTGAAATTATTTTTTAGCATATAGCCAAAAACTACAATATTTCAGCTTTCAATTCATTGAATTTTTTTTTCTCAATGATTCACTCATTAAATTTTTTCAAGTTTTGAAATTAATATGCCAAAGATGAATTTGTACAGAAATTTAGCCTAAAATTCAATAATCTGTTAGGAAGAGTTATCTCCTATTTTTCATCCCTTAAGGACAAAGATAAATTTTGACGCACTAGTATATGAAAGATAAGTAACTCAGAGACATTTTGTGCAAATTTCATTTAATTTAATTAACTTTTAATTGTCTTAAAGGTCTTATGCAAAGAAATAGCCAATCAAAATGAACTTAGTCAACTGAAGTTCTACATATATAGAGAAATTTTTTTTTCCTTTTTCATTTTTGGCAATTTGTTTTAGGCCTACAGTATTAAAATTGGACTCATGTACTAGGAATATCATTTCTTTAGCAGAATTATCCCACTGAATTAAAAGGCACTCTTTTTTCAGGTGCGCATGATGCAACTTCCTGGATGGTGTGTAGGCTGTTTGTCAACATGTGAATCCCACGTGCGTTTCGGGGT